GACACCCCCCCTCCCCCAAGCCTGCACCTGCCTTGCTCAGCACCCTGGACTGGCCCACAAGGATCAGAATGTTGGAAGCCAGGATGGACAGGCAGAAGTTCAGCAGGATGATGGAGCGTTCAGATTTTATGAACCTGACAGGGCACAGTGGACAAGGGCAGAGGTACTGGCTGCCTGCCTGACCAGCAGTAGCTGGCCACCTCCTGCCCTGCCCAAAAATCCAACCTACCTCCAGAAAGCAGCGTAGATGGCAAGCAGTGTGAGCAGGGCCATGCAGGACACGGCACAGCCAATCACCAGGGGGACTGAGGGGGCACCCGCCAGCTCCAGTGTCTGCGGGAGATGGATTTCTGGGCAAGGGCACAGCAGGGTGCCCAATCTCCCTGTCTGGTATAGACTGGCATACCCAGGTGTAGAGGGCACATGATATTATTCTCAAATGAGCAAGACCAAGCCAGATCATGTAAGTGGGTATATTTTCACTCCCAGTCACACACACTCTTCCACACACAACCGGGCACACACATGTGCACACCCACACACAATGTTCTGCAGGCAGGTGTCATGGCTATGAGCACCATCCCAGGGGCACAGGCTTCCATGTGCGACCTCACAAGTACGCCTGCACAGAGGCATATCAAGGATCACCCAGAGGCCCAGCAATAAAGTCATAGGTGGTCCCTTGCAGCCCAGGGGCTTCCTCCCTTGCCCAGCCAGGGACCTGTCTTCTACTCACCAGGTCCTTCGGTGGCTGGGCCAGGACAGCAAAGGTAGACAGGTGCTGACACTGGCAGCGGGTGTGGGCTGCCTGGGTCTCCAAAGTCTGGCAGCTCTCAGTGTCCCAGTCCCCCGAGCTGGCATCTCTTGGGTGGAGGAGAGGTGGTGTGAACCCTGAGCACAACTCCACAGCCCCCCGCCCCAGTGCTGGCCACTGTTCAGGGACAGGTGAAATCCAGGGCAAAGCCACATCCATGGGGGTTAGGAGGGAGCACCAAGATGTGCTCTTGATCCCTCCAGACCAAGGATGGTACCAGGGAACCCTCTGGCCATCCAGGCGGAAGACTCTTCCTGATGAGGGGTTCTAGGGCTGCACCCTTCCTCACCCCAAGCTGCCCCCAACTCACGCTCTGGAGTAGTCCCAGCTGGCACAACGGGGATCTGTGGTGCCCTGGGGAGCAGAAGACATGTGTGCAGTCTAGGGTGGGGAGGTCCCCACCCATGACCACCACCATAACGCCACAGCAGCTCCTATTCACAGGTCAAGGTTCAGCCCAGCACTGGGGACAGACCACCTCCATCAGACAGGCCTCTGGCCACCTAGGTGGGGTAGCCTCAGTGTCCCTGCCCAGGCCCTCACTCACATTGATGATGTAGGAGAGCTCCACTGTGATGAGGGGCTCGGCTGGAGGCTGAGTGGGGGGTCGCACAGTCACTGTCATCACCCGGGAGGTAACAGCTAGTGGAGGCCTGGGGGACAGGAAATGAGGTCAGCTCCTGCCAGCAGGTGTCCAGACCAATGAGGAGCTCTGAAGCTGCTTTGGATGGGTGTCAGGAGCTATTGGGGTCAAGGCCCATGGGAAGGACCAGAGCTCAGTGTGGCCCTGGACTCTGGGTGAGGTCTAGAGTGCTGCCCAACAACTCCTGGACACCAGCACAGCCTGTGGGAGCTGTATGGATGTCTTTGAGAAGCAAGCACATCCAGGGCCAAGTGAAGGGTCCCTGAGGGTGCAGGGCAGCAGGTGTATCACTCTGCTCGGGTGGACCCACCTGGGGGGTGGCAGGATGAGGCCCAGGGTGCGGTAGAGCACAGCACCGATCACAAAGTAGGAGGAGTCATCAGGGTCTGCTGGGAGGAGGCGCTGGTGCGAGTGGCCCGGACCAGGGGGCACAGTTCCTGGGCCCCTCCCTTTGCCAGGAGTGCCTGCTGCCCCCGGTGCAGCTGGATTTGCTGGTGAGGAGAGGCTGAGCACCTCCTTGGGCAGGAAGAGGCGGTCCTCTGAGTGCCTCACCCAGTCCTTCATGCCCCGGCGGCCCCGCATGGGAAATGTGATGTCACTGGACACAGCCGAGATGGGCTCCCGCTGAATGCTGACCACTGCAGTGGGAGGAGGGTGGGCAGAGCGCACAAGGGACACGCCAAAGGGGATGGACCCAGGGGAAAAGACAGACATGGGGGAGGCATAGCAGGGAAGGCACACACAGACACAAAGGTGGATACAAACAGGGAGGGGGACACGTACCCAGAGCCAGACAATGAGGGGATGGAAGGAGAACACGTGGAGAGAAAGACACAAGCATGGAATTAAATGGGGGAAAGAAAGGGCCCAGAAACAGAAGTCAGAAAAACAGGAAAAGCCATATGGAAACCACCCCTTGCCCACAGTGGTCTGGGCTCTATCACCTCCAGCAACAAACCAACCAACCCCCGCCCCCAGTTTCTTGTACCCAGATTGTCCGTGACAATCAGAGAGCTCTGGAAGGCCTTGAGGGCGTCGCCCACCAGGTGAATGAAGTCTTCCACAACACGAAGCAAGTGCACAGAGCCAGGGGACACCTGGGGACAGAAAGCATGTAAAGCTGTGGGAGTACAAGATGGGAATGGGTCGGGAAAGGAGAACCCACAAGCTGGGCCTCACCTGCTGGGCATCATCCCACTTGTCCTTGTTCTCTTCATCTACCATGAAGCTCACTACCTGAAAAAAGCGCTGGGGAAAAGCAAAAAAGAGTCTTAGCCCAGGAGACAGGACTTCCCCGCTGCACTTGCCACCACCAGCAGCCTCTGCCACAGGGGCTCAGCTTGCCCCTCATTCAGTTTGGGGCTTCTCCACCCGCCTTCCTCCCAGCAGCACAGGGTGGTACCTGCACATCATCAGCGGAGGGCACGTAGGTGGCCCTTTTGAAGGTGTCAGTGACGTTCCTCAGAATGTCCACAGAGAAGAGCAGGTCCCCACTATAGTAGGTGCGGCGGGCCAGGAGCTCCTGCAGGCTGCGCACCACCTGTGACATGCCCTCACCTGCTAGCATGCGCTGCCCCTTTGCCAGGTGCTCCCGGAGCTGCAGGTGACATGTGAGTCTCCATCACTGCAGGACCAGGTGGGAGCTGAGACCAGACCCTGACCCATCCCACTCCCATAAACCCACTGCTTGCAACCAGGAGGAAAGAGGGCGTACAAGGTCAGAGAGATGCTCAAGGGGCTGCCAGGGGAGACAGAGTTCAAGAAAGAGGCTCAAAGAGAACCATAAAAGTTACTTTTAAAAGACTGCAATAGTAGGACCTGGAGAAAGGTGCTCAAATGTGTATATCAAAGATGAGAAGCCAGTGTGTGCACAGGGTACCCTTGTCCACCCAAAGGAGTCAGGCACATTCTAAAGTACAGTGCATACATGCTCTTTCTCCTGTGCTCTCTCAATGACAAGCTCCAAATGCAAAGACGAACCCATACCCCAAACAGTCAGAAATATGGACACACGTATGCTGATACCATCCTAGCCCCATGGCAGGCCCCAGGCGGGATTCTGGGAACACGAAAATAAATTCAACTTTGCCCGTCTTTACGGAGTGCCCCTTCTAGCCCAGCACACAGACACTCAGATACGCATTCTTAACACCTAATGACTAAATAGAAGCACAAGGTAGGCACCACCAATAAGGGAAGACACTTGAAAGGTAGGCCTTGAGGTATGAGTAGGAGTTTGCCAGACAAGGAAAGGCACAGTCAGGCAGAAGTGGGCACAGAATATGCCAAGGCACATGGAAATGATTGCGCCTCAAGCTTCTCCACCCGCTACCAGAGACTGGGACAGAGCACGTAGCACCCCAACCCAGAAGGAAGCACTCACTGACAGATACAGGTAGCGGTACTCATGGGAGATGCAGCGGGCAAAGCTGGGCAGTCCCCAGTACGCCACACCCTGTGCACTGAGGAGACAGCGGCGGCTGGCAGACCCTGCAGGGGACAAGAGGGTTGGGCATGGGAGCTGAGCTCACACACTCAGGATGGAGACTCAGAA